GTCTCACTAAGTTGCTGAGGCTGGCCTTGAACTTTTGACTGGCTGCCTCAGCCTCCTCACTTGATGGGTCACAGGTATGAGCCACTGGGCTGGCTCTTGCAGAGCTTTTGAGCTCAGGAATTCTGGAATGGCTTGGGTGGGYGGTCTTGGGGTGGGGTCTGATGGTTTGATGGGCCCGAGGAGTACTTTCAGAGTTCTTACCTGTTGGCTCTTGAGTGGTGCTGGCATTCAGTGGGAGACTCAGCTCTCATCACACAGCCTCTCCACATGGCTGCTGTGTGTCYTCCTGACGCGCGGGCAGCCTTCCCCGAGAGGGACCTTCCGGGGAGGCAGGGGCAATCCCTTATGGCCTAGCCTAGGAAGCCACACAGCTCACATACTGTCAGCTCCAGTGTTCTGCACACCAGCCCTGACGCAGTGCGAGGGGGACTACATCTGGGTGTGAATACACACAGGATCATTGGGGCCATCTTGCAAGCTGGTTACCATGGAGCCAAGACTTCCCTTGTCAGCAAAACCAGATGCTTAAAAGCGTCCAAGAGAATAATCTAAGGTTTGCAAAATATTATCTCCAAAGTGGTATAGGGCTGGGTGATTGAAAACACCCAGAATTTGAAGTCAGTCCTGGTTTCCAGTCCTGGTTATCTCATCACCTATGAGGTCTTCTTGCCAATAGCTTTTAACCTAAATCTAATAAACCCTATAGAATTGCCAGTTTACTGTCAATAATTGATTAGAAAAACCAGTGAATATGGTCTGCAGTTGTAACTCAGTAGTAGAGCACTTGCCTGGCGTATGTGAGGCACTGGGATCATCCTCAGCACCACATATAAATAAATAAATAAATAAACAAACAAACAAATAAATAAATAAATAAAAATGAAGGTACATCAATAACAACAGCAACAACAGAAACCGGTGAATAAACTCATGAAGAAATAATCTGCTGGGCACGGTGCCTGTAATCCCAGCAGCTTGGGAGGCTGAGACAGGAGGATCCTGAGTTTGAAACCAGCCTCAGCAAAAAGCAAGGTGCTAAGCAACTCAGTGAGACCCTGCCTCTAAATAAAATACAAAATAGGGCTGGGGATGTGGCTGAGTGGTCAAGTGTCCCTGAATTCAATCACTAGTATTAAAAAAAAAAAAAAAACAAAGAAAAAGAATCTGACAAATATAGAATGTGACACATTCTACAAGAAAACTGTCTCAGACTTTGAATGTCAATGTAATGGGAGAAAATGTGGAGTTTTTCCAATTAAAAAAAGACATAGCTGCTGGGCTGGGAATGTCGCTCACTGGTAGAGTACTTGCATGTCCAGGCCCTGGATGTGGTGTGCACACAAGGACATAACCAAATGCAATGCATGTAGGTAACATTGGATACTGAGATCAAAATACAACCCGAGGGGGCTGGGGCTGTAACTCAGTGGCAGAGCGCTTGCCTAGCATGTGCGAGGCACTGGGTTCAATTCTTAGCACCACATAAAAATAAACAACTACAAAATAAATCAATAAAAATAAACACAACCTGAAAAACTATAAAACTGTTTTAAACAACTGGACACATGGACACATTTAACTATGGAACATGGTGTTCTAAATTTAGAAAAAAACAATTACACAGAGATCTTCCAAGGAATAATATTTACTTGGGAAGAGCATTGCAACATAAATGGTAGGGCTCTGTAAAGGCGACATTTGTGCATAATATGTTATGGGCACATTCAGGGGTTAAGGCAAGAAAAAATAAGGACTATTTCAGTTATGTTGAAACAGACTCTTGGCCACAAAGATTAATGGTAAGAATGGCCTCAGTCCAAGGTTGAGCACAGTTGCTGGATAGACGCATTATACAAGTACATTTTGTATGAGGTTGTGGCTGCTCTATGCAAGCTGCTGTTTCTGGCAGAGTATTTTGTGATAGTATTAGGCAATCATTAGTAAGAACCCTTTCTTTCTAACTTCTTAGCTTTATTTATTTATTTTTGTTAGGGTTGACAGAGGCAACATCTCCATTTTGATTTTGACAACTTTTAAATTTCTTTCACAACTGACTACTAGCTGATATTAGAGAATGGTTAGTTTTCTTAAGTGTAAATATATACCATGGTGATACTAATGTTCTTACTTTTGGGAATTACTTATTGTAATATTAAGAGGGTCATTGTATCTGCAAGTTTCTCCCTCACTCCCATGCCACAATATTGGAGGTTGAAATCAGGGGCCCTCTATCTCTGAGTTACATCTCCATGCCCTTTTATTTTATTTTGAGACATGGTGTCACTCAGTGTTCAGCCTCCATCAAATGTGTGATCWTCCTGCCTCAGCCTCCAGAATAGCTTAGATTACTAGAGTCAGCCAGCTCAAGTGATCTAAAAAAATGCATAAACCCCACATGCCCACAGAGAATAGAGCAAATATTGCAAAATGGGAACAGACTTTGAACCCTAGGTACTGGGTGCACATTGGAGACTTCCATTTTGAAAACATTTCTAATAAAAAGGCAGGAAACACATTCTAGCTATGAGGATCCAGGAGCTGTGGGACCTGGGCCAGTTTCCTCTCAGGCCTTGGTCTCCTACCTATAAAACAGGTCTAAAAATACCCACCTCCCTGTTGTCTGGATTAAATATGTACATCACCCGACCCGGCTGCCAGGGGTTTGGGTGCTACTGTGATCATGAGGGCAACCCTCAGCAGCGTCTGGCCAGAGTGCAGGGAGGATTTGGGAAAAGCACCTGACCCCGGCTGCCTGGGTTTCTCATGGAGCAGCTGCTTAGAAATCCTGTTACCTATAAAATCAATTTAAAAAAAAAAAGAAAAAAAAATCCTGTTAACTAGCCGGCGCAGTGGCGCATGCCTAAAATCCCAGGATCACAAAAGTTCGGGAAGGATCACAAGTTCAAGGCCAGCCTCCGCARTTTAGTGAGACCTGGTCTCAAAATAAAAAAACAAAAAGGGCTGGAGATGTGGCTCGGTGGTTAAGCGTCCCCGGAATTCAAGCCCCCGTGCCAAAAAAAAGAAAAAAAGGAAATCTTGCTAACTAACTCCAGGCGAGGGAGCAAATGCGCTCAGGCTGGGGAGCGTGCTCGCCGAGCGCGGGCAGCGGGAGGGCGGGGCCCGGGGGTGGGCGGGGTCCGAGGGTGGGCGATTAAGTGGAGCCTCTCGGGAGTCGAGGGCGGAGCCTGACCTCCCCGGACCAATCGTGGAGAAGATGTCAAAACCCGCGCCGAAAGCGAATTGGAGAAGCTCGGGGCAGATCCGGGCGCCGGGAAGCCGCCCGCATCCTGGGGTGGGCGTCSGCTCCTGCGGGGGCGGGCAGCCAGGGCCTCTCCGGGTTTGGACGCCGGCAGCGCCACGTCTCCTAGAGGAGCAGGGGTGGCCGACTTGGGGGGAGGGGAGGCACGCCCGAAGACCCCAGGTGGGGGAGGGGAGGGGCGGATGGCGACCTTCCCCSGGTTCCAAGTTTCCCGCGAAGATAGGTGCTGGGTACTCGGTAAACAAACCACAAACGAAGCCATCGTTTCTGACTGTCGCTCAGTCGTGGTGTGGACATCGGGAGCAAGTAAAGCTCATGGTGTGCAAGAGAGCAACCAAACGCAGCAGCACTTGGAATACTGATTACAGGAAGCTGGAATGCGCACTAGTATTAAACGATCCCAAACATTCATTGATGGTTTTGTTAGATGGCTTTATCAATAAAAACGTCCATTTTCTGGAGTTGGATGCTGAAGTGCGTACGTGTGAAGTTGACCATGTGGTTTAGGCAAACGTTGCTGGATTCGAGTTGTTCTTTTTTGTAAGAGAAATGATTTTCACCGGCCTCTAAGGCGAGAGAACCTTGACCACAAGTCTGTCTACTCTCTTCCCTACCCCACCCTCTTCCTAGGGKGTTTGCAGTTTCTGGAGCTTTCTCAGGTAAACTATTTCTTTCCTGGGTGTTAACGTTTCTTTTTCTTCACTTATTTCAGGCATTTTTGCCCTTTGGAGGGCAAAACATCTCTGACAAATCAGAAAGCCAAGTAGCAAACGAAAACTGTGAGTTCCTGCCTCCACCCGCACTCGCGGGAGTTTTCAAACTCTCTTGGGCCTATGCGATGCCTAGTGAGTCATAACGGAATTTCTAGTTCTTTAATCATTCTCTGAACTTTCTGGAGTTCTTGCTCAGTTTGTAGTTTTTAAACAAGTGCGACTCAGGGGACAGTGGTCTGACTGGAGAAAGGAAAGGGAACTGCACCAAGAGCCTCGCTCTGCCACTGAGTTATCCGGTGAGTTTGAAGGTGTACCACCGACCGCCCGTTTTACAGGAAGGATCTCATTTAACACCATTCTCACTTTGTTAATCCCATTTACCAAGGCGGACCGCGAGTCCTTAAGAAACCAGGTCACGCCCACTGCAACTGCGGGGCTCAGCGGCTGTTGGGCGGCGGGATCACCGCCGAACCCCAGATCACTTGTCGGATCCCAGCCCCTGCGCACCCCCACCCCAGGGACTCAAGTCTAAAGGGTCGCGGCCACGCTTCTGCCGCAGCCGGGAGCATTTTTCCGGCGTGTGTGTGCACCGACCTCCTTGGCAAAGCCCTGAGCCCGCGGCAGGCAGGTTCGGAGACGTTTGCTGAGAGGTGGGGCTGCGGGGTGGTAGTCCCCTCGCGCTCCTGGCGGGCTCCAATCGTGGCGCCTCTCGCAATCCCAAACGGTTCCGGTCCAGCAAGTGCCCGCGCGCGCCACGGCCGCCGACACGCCCCGGGCTGGTCTTTGTGCTAGCAGCTCGCGAGGGAAGGGCCCCGGCGTCCCCGCCCGGCCGGCGCTCCAGAACGGGGCGAGGTAGCACTCCCGCTCGGCGCTTGAATCTCCCGCGCGCCGCGGGGGCGGGGCGGGGCCGGGATCCTCCAATGGGAAGAGCCAAGCTCCGGGCCCTGCCCCCTGCGCGCGCAGTCGGGCGGGGGATTTAAAGAGCGAGGGCTGGGGGCGCCGCTAGTGTTCGGGGTCCTGCTTAGCCACTTCGGTCGCCGCCGTCTCCACGTCTGCCACCGCCACCACCATGCTCTCAGTCCGCACCCCACTCGCCACCATCGCGGACCAGCAGCAGCTGCAGGTCTCGCCGCTGAAGAGGCTCAGCCTGGCCGACAAGGAGAACACGGTGAGTGCCCGCCAGAGCCGGTCGGCGGC